TGACTGTGATGAGAGCTCAGATGTTGCAGGTTCTGTCCTGGGTTCCAACACAAGCTGACCATGATGAGAACTTCCCATTTCTGAAGTGGTGCCATGATCTCATCAACTTCATCCTGATGAAACAGCCTTGCTGGCCATCTGCCATCAAAGGGGCTCATTTCTCCTAGGGCACTGTTCTCCCATCATGGCTCCTGGTGGAAGCCAAGACACAGCCAGCGTTAGCCCACACCAAGTAGCTGTGATTAGACAAACGCATTCGAATCCAGATTCAACATTTTTCCACCAGCGTCTGTTCAGAACCAGAGGCTTCAGCAGCAAGGTTAAGGGAAAGACTTGAGCCATCCTGGGTCCCTCATCCCTAAGCTGCTTTAGAAACTCAGGTCTGCAAGATGTGGAGGACATGTCTGTTGGGGTTGCCTTAAATTTCCTTGGCTCTCATTCAACCATCCTGGATACCATCCACCCCGGATACTTTAGGCCAGGGATTCTCACTGCTTGGGTCCTGGAGGGTCAGAGCATCATCTCATCTCATCTCCCCTGCCTGTGATTGGCTTGCTGGTTTGTCTTAATCACAACCGTTCCCAAGTATTTGGTCGTCAAACGCCTTCGAGTTCCTGCCTAAACCCGCGGGGCAGTGGCCCTCTATGACTCGCGGTGGTTATATGGTCACTCCTCTCAATGGACTCAAGTGTCGAGAACCCCAGATGGTTTTCAAGAGTACGGGCGGTCGTCACGTTGTGGCCCTGCAGGTGAACGGTCAGAAGGCTCTGCTGGGGAAACTCTTTCCCGCACCGCGGGCACCGATCAGGCCTCCTGGTCTGCGTGGCCCCACGTGGGTGGCACCGCGCAGCTTGGGAGCTCGGCCGCAGCTCTTACTGTACGGGCCGCAGAAGAACCTCTCGCGCGGGTCCCGGGCGCAGGGCTGTGGCCCGACTCGCGGTACCGGAGTCAGTCCTCTCGGCGGGAACTCCCGTCACCGCCTGCTCCTCTCGCCTCCCTGCCCGAGCTCTTGAGTCCTGCCGGGAGCGGGGGGCGGGCCGTGGGCCCCAGGGCTGTGTGCCGTGTGAGCCGACAGGTGGCGCTTGAGGGAGTAGCGCCTGGTGAAGCTCTTGTGGCACTGGCCGCAGGGAAATCGGCGTTTCCCGCCGGCCTCTGCGTCCTTCTGGGGCACTGGGGGCTCAGCTGGTCGACGGCGCTTGGGGTGCTGGGCGTCTCGGTGCGGGGGAAGGCTGTTCCGCCTGCTCGCCGGCTCCTCGCAATGGATACAGCCCAGCGGGTTCCTGCCTCTCCGACGTCTGAGCCGTCGGACGTGGCCCGCGGGTGGACCGCAGATCTTCCCGGGCGGCTCATCGAGCCTCGAGTGGATTCGCTTGTGTCTGTCCAAGCTGCTCAGGTACCCGAACGTCTTCCCGCACTCGGCGCACCTGAAGCGATCCCTCATGTGAATCTGCAGGTGTCTTCTGACGCTGTAGGAGCTGGAGAGCTTCTTGCCGCAGTGCGGGCAATGATATCCCGCTGCGGGCTCTTGGGACACGGGGCCCCCGTGGAGACTGGGACTCTCCTTGCTCCGGCGCAGTTCCATCTGGAAGCCGGGAGACTGGGCTGGTGTGGGAGGTTCGGATCCGGAAGCCGAGTGGCCCGGGGGCAGGGTTTGCCCTGGGCCAGTCTGAGCGTGGGGAACGGGTGTGCGCGAAAATCTCTGGGGCTCTTCTCCGCCAGCGAAGAGCTCGTCCTGTTCATCAGGGGCAGCAGTGTCGCTCTCCGGTGTTTCGGCTTTCCGTGCCAAGAGCAGAGGGAGACAAACACAAACATTAGCTTTATTAATCTTTTGAAAGAGAACCAACACCCCAGGAGATATCTCGTTGCTTTGGGTAGCGACTGTACTGTTCCCACAATCGAAAAACAAACCACGTGATGTATTAATATTATGGTCAGAAGTGTTCCAATTCATATTAGGCACATTTGGAAATGAATTTGTTCTCAGCCTGACTCTTTGGCAGGTGCAGACTTACAGATGCTAACTTTGAGTAAACGTCTTTCAGCTACAACCTCCCAGACTTTACACATCTTTGAATTAATGTCTGTCCGTCCATCTTCTAACGGCTTTATCCAGTGCAGGGTCGCGGGGAGCCTATCCCAGCAAGCAACAGGTGCAAGGCAGGATACACCCTGGATAGGACGCTAGTCCACTGCAGGGCACACTCACAACAGGGGGGAAATCTTCTCAGAAGCCATTTAACCTGACAGCATGTCTTTGTACTGGGGGAGGAAACGGAAGCAAATACAGGATGAACATACAAACTCCCTGCAGATGGTACCCCAGGAATTGAGCCCAGAGCCTCAGCACTGCACTTCAACATGTCCCAGGACATGAGATAACCCATGTCACCTTAGAAAGTGGAAAAGAGAGCAGAAACAGGACCAAAGGAATACTTACGCTTCTGGTCACTCGGCTGAGACCCGAATAGAGGGACGCCGTCCCCCTCTGGGGCGCCCGCCTGGCATTCATCGCAGGGCGAAGAGCAAACAGACGCCCTCTCCGCCGTCCAGGCACACCAGCCATCCGCAGGACCCTCTGCCCGGGATAAGACCCCGGCAGCAAGGTCAGCGTCCCCCGACAGCCAGGGTGGCTGGCTGTCCCCCCCGCAGGGGGCTCGGGCCCCCGCAGGGGGCTCGGGCAGCCCCGGAGGGGTGCCGCCCGGCTCCAGTTCAAGGTGCCCATTCACCCGCGGAGATCCCGCGTGGGAAATTCGCAGCAGGTCGCCCGGGTCCCCGTCCGTGGAACCGTGCTCCGAGCCCAGCGGCTCCGCGGGGACAACAGGAGAGGGCAGGACGAACTGCAGATCGATGGCCGAGGGGTCGATTTCAATGACGTAGAAAGAGGCGCCCGAGTCGTCCCGCTGACTTCTGCCCTGGCTGCGGACGCCCTCCTTGTCCGGCGTGCGTGCCGGCCCCCGGTCGTGTCTCGTCCTGGGGCCCTCCTCTGGCTCCGGCACGCCGCCCCCATCCTCCGCGGCACAGCCCTCTCCGGCTCCTGCGTGAGGAGGAAAAGAGCACGCCTTTCATGGAGAGAGCAGCACGCCCCAGGTTTCTTAGCGCCCTCCAGGCCCGAGCACGACCCCGCCTCCGGACGGGTTCTCTTGGCATGTTTTATAGCAGCGCTGCTCTGGGACAGCTTTTCAGGGAGGCCACCAGTGACATTTTTTTTAAGAAAACCTTTTGGATCGTGTTTTTGCCATCATAACCCACCACAGGGGCACGGGCTTGCTATCCCAGCAAGCTCTGGGTGCAAGGCAGGGTACGCCCTGGAGAGGATATCACACAGAGACAGTTTTCCCAGCACCCAATTAACCTCCCACATGTTTTTGGACTGTGGGAGGAAACAGGGCCATCCTGAGGAAACCCACATGAATAGGGGGAAGAACATGCAAATTCCACACAGATAGGACTCCAAGTCTGGAATTGAACCCGGGGCCCCAGCACTATGAGGCAGCAACGCCCACCACTGAGCCACCATGCCACCCTCCTTGTGCTGTATTTACTTCACAACGCATAGACAGCGAGGAGGACAATGGACGACACACTGGTTTGTGGTGTGACAGCACAGTACAGTACAGTGCCTACAGCCTGGCCACCACAACACCCCTCCACTTCCACTGCCTCCAGAAACATTAGTACCGACCCCTGTGACGCATAATAAATTTAGTTTTTTTTTTATTAACTGATGACATGTATGCAAAACAACAAGCCAGGCGATTTCTGGCGGGGTCCCCTCTGTACTGCTGTTAAGACGAGGGTGGCACTTTATGCACTTCTCCAGTGCAACACAGTTACCTACAGTTACACAGTTGCACCACGTTGTTTATGATGCTGAGTGCACGAAGTTGTGCCCTGTTGTGATACATCGGGAGTCAGGACACGAGAGTTGATTGTCAGCTATATAGAGCGCTCTGGAGATCCCTGAGCACACAGAGCCCTCCTGTCCCTCGGCCTGCAGAGCTTTTCATTTGCTTCATACAAAGGAACTTCAGGTTCACTTGAATATGGTCCTTTTCCTCTATCAAATCTTAAATATGTGGTAACGTACAGTACATAGTTGTACAATATATGCTACTGATATGGTATCTTTCCAATGATATCACAGAAAGCCACTGCCAAGTCTAAACCTCTCCCTTCTCCCTTGTCAGGAAACTCTTGTTATATCACTCATGCCAATTTATACAACAGAGATAGTGGCGTTTTGATAACTCCATAGCAGCCTTAGCAACATGCATAGTGAGTTATAAAGCTGCCTCTCAGTTTCTTTGGTTACTAAAGTATATAGGAAGTGATGTCATCATGAGGATGTCAGAAAAGGATGGAAAATGACAACACCACATTTACTCCCAGTATTATGTGCGAGCCTGGTATTCCTTTACGTGTAGAGGCACAGAGATAGTTTACAACAAATGTCACCCTACAAAGTGCTTCCTGTCACAACTGAACCACAACAGCTCAAACTGTCCCAGGTCATAGTTCAGAGTGTAGCTGAGCTGATGGGCAACTCACACAAGAGTGACTTTGACTAGGAAACACAAGTGACTGTGCTGCCCGTACAACTGTCCACTGACAAGAACTGAGCAGACACCCAGCCTCTCACCACCCCCTAAAACCATCACTGTGGATTCCAAGTTATCAGTCAAACTTGGGGCGGAGCAGTGGCACTATTGCTCAAGATTTGCACCCGCGGCTGGAAAGTTGCTGGTTCAAATCCCATAGCTGGTAGAGGAATCCTACTTTGTTGGGCCCCTGAGCGAGGCCCTTCACCCCAGCTGCTCCAGGGTTGCTGTATAAATGGCTGACCCTGTGCTCTGACCCCCAGCTTCTCTCTCCCTGTCTGTGTGTCTCATGAAAAGACTGTGAAAAGACAAATTCCTAATAGAAGTAATTATATATGGCTAATAAAGTGATCTTATCTAAAGATGGGGATGCAGTGGTGCACTTATCTCAATCGGTGTGGAGCAAAGGAGAATAAGGTTGTGCAAAGCTTATTCTGATCTACCCCACTAGCAGATCAGCACAGGTTTAGCAAGCACTGTACACACACAGTATGAGCTGAACACTGGCATCAACAGACATGCCTGTAGCTACACATTCAAGACAGACTTTTCCATCAAGACTCTCTGTTTTCTCACACTAGACATTTCCACGTGATTCACTGATCCATCCACACTGAGGGAACAGCGCTCATGTTCTGCTGTGACGATGACGAGTCATGAGACTCCACCACTTTGGGTGCGGAGAAATATTCGAGAGGGACAGCACAGTGGTGTAATGGTTAGCACTGGGTCTCTGGGTTCAATTCTGGACCTAAGGTGATGTAAGTGTGGAGTTTGCATGTTCTCCCAATGTTCCAAAAGGCTTCCTCTCACGTTCGAAAGAATATGCTAGTAGGGCTTCTGGAAAGTGTGAGTGTGTGCGTGTGTGTCTGTGTCTGTCCCGTGATGGACTGGTGTCCCGTCCTGCCTTGTGCCCGTTGCTTGCTGGGATAGACTCCAGCTCCCACACGATCCTGTACTGGAAGAAATGTTTAGAAAACGGATGGACAGAAATATATTCAAGAGACTCAGCAGCACAACCACCTGTTGGCCCAGATATGTGGCAAAAGAACAGACAAGGCAGACTGCCACAGAACACACAGGGGTACAGCCAGCCAATATTAAGCGTCAGTCCCACTGGCTAAGATGGTGCCATACATGCCACGCACCAGACACAGAGACCAGATGAAATCCACGCACTTTTCCACACGCAAAACAACGACTTTTATCATCCGCGTCCCGTGCCGTGTGCGATGCCTCGTTAGGGAAACGGGAAGGGAAACTTGCCCTCGGATGAACGGCTCGGCTCTTTGGAGCTCCGCTCACCGGCAGGGCTGGCCGGACACAGCTGCCGCCTCTCGGCTCTCAGCGACTCCTCCAGCTGGCGCAGCTCCGCCGAGAGGGTCTGGTTCTGCCTCCGCTTGCGCGTCAGCTCGGCGCGCAGGCCGGCCAGGCTGCCTCGCAGCAGCTGCGCGATTTCCGACACCGTGTTCTGCACGTTCCTCTCTATGAGCGACGACAGCTGGATTTCCAACTTCAGCGGAGTCTCCGCCATTCTCTCCCCGGAGCGCGCAGCAGACGGCGCACGGCCCGAGGCTGCGTTTCTGCAGACGCTTCGAGTCAGCGCATTTCAGCCGTGCACATCGCTCCGGTTGAGGCGACTTTACCGCGCGATTGCATATATAGGCGCACGCACTTTTTGAAGTGATCTGTACCGTCTGAAGTTAGCCGTTCGGTCCCATTGTATCACAAAAAGTATCTTAAAAATACTTTAAATGTGTAAATGCGTAGAATATGTACCCGTAGAACTGGGAAGACATTAAGATAAGATCACTTTATTGGCCATATAGTAGGATTCCTCTGCCTGCTGTGGGATATGAACCAGCAACCTTCCAGCACAGACCCCGAGCCACAGAGCCACTGTATTGCCCACCCTGTCTAAATGAATAGGCAAAATGAAATACTTCTGCTGCACTACACAGCACTGATGTTTGCTCCTGTTCTGTTGCCCTCTCTGGTGTGCTACTAAGCAATACATTGGGAATTATAAAACATATCTAAAGGAGTAGAGATACTGTTTTTCTAAATGAGAATTTGGCTTGCCATATAGACAAGTATTTCCCCCTCTTTCTCACAAATGTAAATCAAGCAGTATGTGTGCCTAGTAGGAACTACAAATAAAAATTGTTCTCTAAGCACCAGGTACACTTTCCTAGTACAATAAAAGGAAACCCTTTGATAATGTAATAATAATAATAATAATAATAATAATAATAATAATAATAATAATAATAAACTTTATTTTATATAGCGCCTTTAAA